AGAGTGTCCCAGATAGAGTGTCCCACAAGAGTGTCCCGTATGAGTGTCCCACAAGAGTGTCCCGCAAGTGTCCCACAAGAGTGTACCCACAAGAGTGTCCCAGATAGAGTGTCCCAGATAGAGTGTCCCACAAGAGTGTCCCGTATGAGTGTCCCACAAGAGTGTCCCGCAAGTGTCCCACAAGAGTGTCCCACAAGAGTGCCCTACACGAGTGTCCCACAAGAGAGTTCTACAAGAGTGTCTCACAAGAGTGGCCTACAAGAGTATCCCACAAGAGTTTCCTACAAGAGTGTCCCACAAGAGTGTCCTATAAGAGTGTCCCACAAGGAGTGTCCTACAAGAGTGTCGTGTAAGAGTGACCCACAAGAGTGTCCCAGAAGAGTGTCCCACAAGAGTGTCGCGCAAGAGTGTCTCACAAGAGTGTCCTATAAGAGTGTCACACAAGAGTGTCCCACAAGAGTGTCCTGTAAGAGTGACCCACAAGAGTGTCCTACAAGAGTGTCTCAAAGGAGTGTCCCACAAGAATGTCCGACAAGAGTGTCCCATAAGAGTGACCCACAAGAGTGTCCTACAAGAGTGTCCCACAAGGAGTGTCCTACAAGAGTGTCGTGTTAGAGTGACCCACAAGAGCGTCCAAGAAGAGTGTCCTACAAGAGTGTCTCACAAGAGTGTCCCACAAGAATGTCGGACAAGAGTGTCCCATAAGAGTGACCCACAAGAGTGTCCTATAAGAGTGTCCCACAAGGAGTGTCCTACAAGAGTGTCGTGTAAGAGTGACCCACAAGAGTGTCCCAGAAGAGTGTCCCACAAGAGTGTCATTTGCACATATGTAGCTTTTCGAACGTGTTTGCATTCGGGTTCGTGGGCTCCATCTTGTTTTTTTTTCTTTCTTCCTTCCTTCCTTTCTTTTTTTGATCCCCGCCGAATATTTGTTTGGTGCCTTTTTTTGATCCTTCACCCATACTTCAGTCACGAGCAACCCTGCAATTTGTTCGGGTTCGCAGGTGTGCCCACCGGCATCCCTGGAGAATCAACTCCCCAGCACGGTGGGTCAGATTGCCACTGGGCAGACTCATTATCATCGACGGCTTTGGCTCAGCCAGAGAGGAGGAATATCCAAGAAATTTAGTGCAGTTAATGTTTCGGAGCGCTGTTTGGACTTGTGCGGACCTCAAAACCTTATTCCAAGTATTCAGCTGCCGGCTCTGGTGGTTTGATCTGAACGAACAGAGCCGAGCCCCCGCGGGGTGCGAGTTCGTTCGGCCAGTGTGGCGCCTCAGCCTCAAGATTGTGAACCAGAATGCCAACAGTTTGGGCAAACCTCGCATGTTTGAACGACTTGGTAGATTTCACCATGTTTGGAACCGAAACACTTGTCAAACATGTAACTACTGTAACATGTTTGTTACTTTGTAAATTGGAGTTGTGACGCCGTCAACACTTATTGTACAATCAGACACTGTTCCGGGTGGAGGGTCTGTGTGCTGATACGAGTGTGTTTGTAGAGAGCATCTATATTGTGTATACATAAGAGTGACACCAAAATGGATGGAAACGTGCGCCTCCTCTAAAGCTTTTGTGGACGATCGCCATATTTATAGAGATGTAAGAAATACTCTAGACAAGGGCAGGTGCCATTCTGCTTTGGAACCACCATGGGCACTTCACATTAATCGGTGTCAATAACTCAGGGACCTCCTGTTCTTCTACACAGTCTACTGTACCTGGTTTACGACCACAAATGTGCAAAACCAACATCAGAATCTTGGAAGATCTTGGAAATGAAACACATATTTTTCTCTTCATGTCAACTCCATGTATTTTGCGCATCAATTGGTCAAAATTCGACCGCAGGTCCTGGTAGCAGCATATGCGTTCTTTTGCCCGATGCTTAAATAACCTTCCCAGACCAAGGGCCAGGCGGCATAAGCAAACAACTTACTAAATTTACCACACATGCTTTGCCAGATATCTCCCCCTGGTAGACCAGGTTGATTGGCACCGGTTGTGCAGCAAATTTATAACGTGTCAGAAAGAGATTCGTTGGATGCACATATCGCATATCTATATAGAGATTGTGAAGCAACCTTCGTCTGAGGGCTCTTGGTACCAAACTCTGGTGACTTCCCAAGTCTGCACAGGCTATCCTGATGCAAATTCGCGCCGTCCATTCAGATGATTGGTCTGATTATTCGAGCTGAACGAAAGACCGACGAGGTATGCTGCACTAGATCAGGTCTCATCCTTCGGCGGAAGGCAACACAAGTGTAGGCTTGTTTGGATCCACCCACCGTACCTCACGGAATAGGAAGTGAAGGGGAATAGCGGCCTGGCATGTTATGTTTGTCTAGACATCCCCCCCTGTATAATAGAATAGAGACACCTGACTAAGTGGCTAGCCATATATTGCATAGCTGGCATAGCAGCTTATATGACGGCTGGACTAAGAGTAGCATGTTTGAAGATATGCACACGGTTCTGGCGCCAACAACCTGTGCTGGGAGTTCACAACCTTGTTTCCAAGATCACGCTCTTCAGCTGTCGGCTTCCCAATTTTGCCAAGTGGACATCGTATGCCTAAGCACTGGGAAAGGGGCCCTATCAGGAGCAAGAAACGAGTTCAAAGATGGGGACCGAAACTGAAGTTGTTTCATGAAGACAGCAGCGTCGGGCATTTGACAATTTCCTGAAATTCTTCCAATGAGCCGCTTGTCTTGGACAACTTAAGTTTTAGTGCATATCTAGGTAGCAGCGGCAGCAGCAGATAGCAAGACACCCTCGTGGGCTTGTTTCCAGCTTGAACTGCGCCTGAGCAGAGCTCACTGCGTTGGTGCCAGACTGAACAGGGCACAGTGCCATGATTTTCATGTCGCAGGCATCCGACAGCTGAAGGCATAGACACAGGGCGCCTCAGGGCCGTTCAGCGAAGTCACCCTCATCTAGAACAAATAGGAAGCAACCTATTTCATGCATGTGGATGAATCAACATACCATTTCAGGGGTTTGGCATTGAGCTGACACCTTCCTCAAGTCGAGACCTTCCTGGAGGGTACCTTCATGACAGACTCCGCAGTTGAGGAAAGTCGCTGTTGTGTAAACACGCCTTAGTTTTGTCCGACATTTTGATGTAGGTAAAGACATGTAAAGACCTAAGGGATCCAGTAAGCTGATTGCGGCTAAGAAGCAACGAATTGTGGCCATCTAGAGAGCAACGAAACAACGATATTGCAACTGTGTTTCCAGATGATTACAGCACTTCGCTGGGTGTAGATCAAAACCCCGTAGCACTGGTTTCCCGCCCCTTCCAGTTCCATGTTTTCACCGCCAGGGTGAGAGGAGCACCGACCTCTCACCTCCCTTTGTTACTAGTAGCTTCTTCCTGTTAATAGCGATGCCAGGAGCTACTAGTAGCGATGCCCTTTGTTACAAGTAGCTCTGCTCCCGTTCCATCTTTTTTTTCATTCTGGTGTGAGCAAACCAACAGTGGAAGCCGGACGTCTGCGGGCACCATGGAGCTAAGCCTTCAGCATCGAAAGAAAACGCGCTGCCGAGCCGCTGCAGAAGAAGCATTGAGCCGTCCGTAGAGTAGTCAATACAGGATTCTTTGCGTTTGATCATTGATCAATCATGACCAACAGCAAATGACCTGGTCGTTTGTGACCAAGATTATACAATTATACATGTGTACGAGCGTATGGGTGTGGATCAAAACCTAACTGGGTGTGACATATCCAAGACTGATGGTACCCCGATATCATACGCACATTTTTTTATATAAAGTTTATGTGCATTTGATGCATTTCGCACGTCAAGCATACTCGCTTCACCCCTCCCTGCGTCCAAAAGCGCTTCCATTTTGCGCTTGCCAGAGCCCTCCAAAAAGGCTCACCAGGTTGAGGCACGGCCACGGCGCCATGACCTGCCCGCAGACACGCCAGGTCTCTACGTTTGGGGCGGCACGCACGGCACCAACTATCCCACGGAGCCATTGGTGTCGAAAACATTGAATTAATTGAAATGGAATGGTTCTGCTACTATCATCAATTAGAAAAATAATATAATTGCAGGGGTAAGTTTGTGGGTGGTTGCTGACCAACATGGAATATTGGCTTGGACATCTTGGGATATTCGGCCGGTATCCTCGGTAGGGAGTTACCCTAAGATAGTTGGCGTTGTTTCGGGGTTTACAAGATGCAGCACCTGTACAGGCTTGTTCTTCCGAAGGTCTCTCAGTCTCGGGCGGTGCAACCCAAGACCAACATATAAATAATTACATCCGTTGATTCTAACGTAATCTAAAAAAAGAACGCACAGTTCTGCTTTTGTGCATATTGGAATGGAATATTCTACTCCCACTTGCCTCATTGGAATGTGAGCCGGTCTGGAACCAAACCAGGCCCAGGACTCCCCTGTCGACTCAGAGAATCAGTCAGGACATGTATCGATTCGATCTTTGCACAAAGCAGCCGGGGGACCCGCAATTGTTTTGCGTCAACAAAGTGACTGGGTTTCTTTTAATTACCTGCCAACCTTGTTGAACTTGCAAAGAATTGTGTCAGGTCACAGCAAAAGGAAAGACCGGCAGATTCAACAGTCATGTTTTTTCAAGGATTCTTAGGATTGATGTTCTTCGCAAGTTCAGGATTGAATCGGGCAGTGCTTGGGAGGTTGCAAAATGTGCAGAGTTATGCATAGCTCATGCATTTGTGAATTTTGGAGTGCGTGCCAAACCGAATGATTGCAAATTTGTTGGTGATTACACATGACTTGAATATGGGGTCTTGAATAATTATGGGGTACCCCCAAAACCCATGGGAAAAGGGTACTATATAGTTCTCGGTAGATCTGATCAGTACATACCAGGCGTACACTGCTCAGGGTCTCCTTCGTGAAGAATCTACCTTTCAAAATCCTTTGATAGTATGCACCAGTTGATCAGCTACTGACTGACTGACTGACTGACCGACCGACCGACCGACCGACCGACCGACCGACCGGCCGGCCGACTGACTGACTGACTGCCTGTATCACTAACTAGATGACGCGTGTTAGAGAATCCCTGAGAGTACAGAAGAGGAAGAGGAGGAGGTTGTTGTTGTTGTTGCTGTTGTTGTTTTGGTGGTGGTGATGGTGAACTCATCCACGAAAGGAGACAAGAAAAGACATATATTTTTATGCAGTGTGTTTTGCAGGAGAACCGATGGGCTCATAACCCGAGGTGGGAGTACCTTGTCACCAGCGGTGATTGCCCTTGTGGTAGGTCCGTGAGCGGGGTTTGGGAGTGCCAGGGTGAGACGGCCTTTGTTGGTGCCGTAATGCCATGACATACACTCACCCAACCCTTTTTTTGGAAGAAACAATTATATACGTAGGTAGTGGATAAAGAATGCTAACTTAAATAATTTTCATAGTTTGGGGGTTAATCTTGCCGCCAGTATATTATATAATCTTTCACAAGTTATCGCTCACACGAGATGTGCGAACCCGCTTGAAACACTCTGGTTGACTGTTGTGTTTTGAAATGGGACTACGCTGTACTGCATATCCATCCTGTTTGGCTGCTTTGGCGTGTTGAATCAGGAAAGACCAATGGGAGATGTTTAGAAGGGTAGACCGACGGCGGTAAACAGATTTTCCAGCTCATAGTAGTGTCCATATTACAGTGGCATACCGTGCTAGAATACAGTACCTCTAATGTAAAGTATTATGCACGTAGTTCCCAGCTTGACTAGTATTTGAAGAGGCTCTACTTACTGTCACTTTTGAGCAGGTGACTACTGAGCACACTCACAATATCAACCTCAGTGGAATGTTAGGGATTTGATTTTCGTAATCCGACGGCAGGCTCAGCTCGGGGCCACTCGTGTCACTTCTGTTTCATGCGTTTCATGCAGCATTTTTTCACAAGTCTTCAGAAGTCTTCATGACAAAATAGACCAGTCTCTGATTGCATCAAGTCTCAAGTTCCAAAGATGGCCCCCCACTCTGGTGGAAAAGCACTGCTCATGACTGGTGGTTGCTCATAGTATGAATGGCAGTGTTTTCTGGTTTAGTTGTTTAGTTTCACTTTTGGGGTACTGAGAATTCTTGTCCATTTCGGATGCCTCAAGTAGTTGATGTACACAATGCACCAGCATGTCTTCGCGTCCTCAAATCTTCTTAGGGTCAGCTATAGTTTAGATGCTGCCAGGTATAGGCATCAAGCGATGGTGAAGGACGATTTGATGTACATCGTGGGCGGTTCAGGCTGCGTGTTTTTTTCCTCTGCATGTGCGATTGTAGGATCAAAGCTTTGCCTTTCTTTTGGCTGAAAGGCAAAGCTGGGAAACTGATGGGATGGGGGCTATTGTTGTGTTCTCCCATTTTGCGAGGGCTTGATGCCAATATTGTTCTCATGGATACATGCCAGCAGTCGTGTTGTACGTATCGCTGAATACTTGACATGGCTAAGCAGTTGAACTACTTGACAATCCATTCCTTGACTTTGATTCAAGAGATGAGCAGCCTTTCCGGGTGCCAACTTCGGCACTTCGGAGATCTTCTGAGCGTTCTGATGGGGCTCAAGAGAGCATTGAGGATGAGGGATGACCATGCACAGAAGGCCCCAGAATGGATGTATAGGGCGTGTCAGCAATTCCTGCCATACATGCAGGTACTCATGTGAATTCCCTACTACTTCGATAGGCTGTAGCTACTTGCTCTAAGTCTACCCACATAGATCTACATGAGTTTTTTGAAAGATCATCAACACAGTGGCTTTGTTAGTCTTTAGCATGTGGAACATTTCCGGACAAGGCTATATAACAATCTGTTTTAGATATTGATGTTGTTATTGTGTGTTTTACATCATTCATCCATAAATTAAAATACGTGAAGTAAGATCTGGATATGTTTCCCCTGTCTCGCGCCTGCGGGGCCAGGCATCAATCGATATGGCGACGTGTGGACGTTCCATTTCGGCACAAACGCAGCACTGGCAATGGTTGCAGCTTCCTCTTGACCTCCAAAGAGCTTGGCGCAGACTTCTCTTGGTTTGGATGCTGTGTGACCTTTTCTGAGCGGAAGATCGATTGGTCAATGGCCAGGTCTGGAGAAGAGTTCTTTGCAGCGGTCGGAGTCTCAGAGCACTTGGTCGCACGCGCCGTGCACTTGGAGATGTTCAGGTCCCGTTGTCAGCACCAAGAGAGCGAAAAGATCGTGAACCTGCAAACCAAAAGCAGCGTGCGCGTCGGACTCGTTTTCGCACTTTTTTGGGGGGTTCGCGCATGTTCGTGCCAAGATCTCGGTTGTTTGTTTGTTTGTCCCAGAGATCTTGGTGCCTAAGCTGGGAAGGCACTGATCTCTCGGATGGCCGCTACGCACACAGCGCAGTGCTCCGGGATGGCCGGGTGCCCCGGGTCGGGCACCGCTGCCGAACAGCGGTGGTTGGGTCGGGGCCGTTGGAAGGGCCCGGGATGGAGTGTGAAGACAATTGAAGACGTTGCCATCCGAAGAATGTAGGATCCAGCCTAGCTTCTCAAGACAATGTACAAAACAGTTACTGTAAATTGATATAATCATTGAACTGTTGGTCAACTTTGACCTTTAATGACAACTTATATATAACAGATTGGTTGGGAAGCCATGTCAGGACGTGTGTACATCATGAGTTGCAAATGGTTGCTTTCGGGCAGAATCGACCACGTTCCACGTTCGCCTCAGGAAGGGATAGGGTTGACATGATGAGCGCATGGTCGTGTGCAAAGAATCATTTACTGTATATATATATATATACCACCTCTTCGGTGATATAATATGGTGATTGAGGTGGGCCAGGAGCGGTGCAATAGGGATTTTGCGTTTGTTCGGCGCAAGTTGAGCCAACCTAATACTACAGCAGTCCAAAAGAGCTGCGCGTCAAGATAATCAGCCCATCACGTTCTTAATTGATCGTCCAAATATATAGGTTCATGCGACAAGACCTGGTAAGTGAGCATATTCCGCAGGACACAGGAAACATTGAATCATGAATCATGTCATATCATGTCATATCATGTCCATTCTTTCATGAAACATTGTGAAACTGCTTTTGATTGGCTCATACACACATGTATTATATATATATGTATGGTACCCCCCAAGATCAGTGGTTGCTTATGGTTACATGCATGTATATTATGCACATCACATCAGCAATGCACATCACATCATATGCATATGATTTGTACATATGTGCGCAGCATCACCAGATATGTGCATGGTGTTTTACCTATAAGAATTAATGAAAATATGCCTTTCTATTATTTTCAGTCACATTAACTTTTCATGTATATATATATACGGATTTTCCTTGCCAGTATTAAAGTTGTTGCTTGGACAAAATCACCAGTTATTTTTCTTTTACAATGCTGTAGGATTAGCTCACAAAAAAGACAAGACAGGTAGATTTTTCAGGGGGTAGCATGTACATTATATGTATATATATATATATGTAGACACATACACCTGTTGTTGGATTTGTCCCAAGTGTTTAATGAGCTGATTTGCCTTCCACTTATTGCTTGTACTGTAGTAGCGGGTCATTGTTTTCTTTTTCACGTTGAGGGACCCAGTGGCTTCCAATGGCTTCGGCTTACCCCCGGGCTTACTGCCATGTACCACCCAACCGGTGTAAATGGGTTTCCAATGTTCATGTTCCACCTGTTTGTAAAGGAACATGTGTCCATCTTTGTGAGTCAGAGTGCAGTTCCCCTTTTGGGGGAGGACGGTACCACGGGTGGAGACAACCCGAGGCTTCATCTACCTCTACGGTGGCAATGACACGGTCCGGCACGATGACCTGCTGCAACTGGATCTGGAGACCGAGACGAAAAGTGGGAGGATCAGGTGACTCGACACTGGAGAAGAAGTCCTTCTCCAACCGAACAACATGAGTTGTTGGTCACTTAGGTGGTTTTCAGTGTTTTCATTTGTTTGGCCATGCTCTGGTGTGCGAATCCAAACAGGACCATTAGTAGATATTAGTCGCATGGGTTTGTACTGGAAATGGCTAACACGCATGCAGTAATCATAGTGACATGTGTTTTCCTCATAAAATGTGCAAGTTTTTAGTTTGTTTCCAGTCTCATTGGGCATCAACCTCATCCGCACTTTCCGGGAGATATTCTCAGCAACTGGCTCAACATTCCGAGCGAATCGGCTGGATGCTGAAGCTTGTCTTTTGTGCAGACTGGATGTCCTCATTTCTTTTTATTCGACGACCTCCAATAGTCAAGCAGAACCGCACCAAACAGATATTTGATGCAAGCCATCTTAGCAGATCGTGATAACAGCTCTGAGCTTGGGAAGGTTGCCCAGCAGTGAATATTTCGAATGTCCATCGCAACTCTGTCGCAGCAAACCCCCAAATGAGTTCTCGTTCAGTATGGCTCAATTATTATCATTACATTCTTCAAGAAAAGAAACCACATTTGTACAAACCAAATCTACGCTCCCATCTTGATCCGCAGGAGACCAAAATCTGGAGCCGGGTCCTGGTTTGGTGGCCAAGTCCGAGGGTGAGTTTCATCCCTGAGCAATGCGACCAACCCAGCCCTGCCAATCACACGATGTTTGTGTGTTTGTGTGAGGGTTGCAACGACTTTTCCAGAGGTACCATGGCTTGTGGCCACTCGGGAGCCTTTGTATCACTGCTCCCGTGAGAAGAAATGTGAAACCGGCCACGAGGAAAGTCTCTATATCATCTATATCATGGCCTCTCGAGTCTCAAATAGATCAAACGTGAATTCTCTCGCGGAATAATCGGTTTTGGATTGTAACTATTGGACATCTTAAATGTATCAGATCTAGACAAACGGTGACCATTTGCATTTGACAAACTCAGAAACATCCGTCAGGTGCATGGCAAGGATTGCCCCCCCGGCCGCGACTTTCATGCGGCGGTGCTACGGAAGGACAGTCTTGGTCGAAGAAACCAACATTGACCGGGCTGCTTAGGACTGCTTTTGTGTGGTTGTATGGTTTTCCCAAGTTGTGCAGCGTCGTTCCCATAGATAGCCATTGGTTGCTGGTGAACTATGAGTCCCAGGAAAAGGATTTCTACACTTGACCAAGCAGATGAACAACAAACCTCCTGCCTGTACCCATCAGATGCAAAGACCAGCAAAAACACTAACTAAACAAGAGCGCGTGCTGTGTGGAGGACACCCATGAACGGAGGTCTGACAATGCTCTTGTAGTTGACACATTTGCTGTCTGGTGGTGGGTTGAGGTTTTCCCAAGAGAGGTTGAAGAAATGGGTGTGCGTTGGTGCCTGTGGTGATCGTCAGGCCCAACTCTTTTGTTCCAGTTCCAATGGTTAGTAACAAAGGGCATCGCTACGAACGGAGCGATCGGACGCTACTAGGGGCCCCTGGCCTTACTACTAGGAACGAGGGCACTACTAGGAGCAAGGGGCATGGCTACCACAGGACTCCATGGTGGTCTTTGGAGGCTCCAATGGGATGAGGCCAAGCGACATCTTTGTGTGCTGTGATGAGGTCGGAGCGACATCGACCAACATGGTAGAATTTCACCACTCACTCAAATCAACGCTGTAAGACTACTGCTTCTGAGTTGTGTTTGGCAACCGAACGAGTTGAATCACACTTTCCCGCCCTCCCAGACGCGTCTGAGCCTTGATGCTCCAAGGAACGTCTGAGCCGAACTTGCTAGGTCTAGGAACTGATGCCGAATTGTGATGTTTGGTACGTAGTAGTATGATGTAGTATGGAGAGGGAACATGAGAACATCATTTAGAGAGTCATCATTTGCGACCCCTCTGAAGCTGCTTCAGAAGGTGACTTTGCTAAATAGAAGCTTTGGTCTGCTCATTTATCATAGAGTAGATCTTCAGGAGGAAGAAAGTTTGGGAACAACTTCACTCGAGAATGCCATTCACATCACTTCTCCTTTGCAATGGAATTCCGGCAGATTAGTTTTCACCCGAACCAAACTATAATACTCTATATAAGTTTATTTCGGGGTGGAAACTAATCCGCCGGCATTTCACTGTGATCCCCTGTAGGATTCTAGGGGAAAGGGTTGCAGGTTATGTATTCACAAGTTTGTTACCAACTTTTGTCCTGGCTGTGTAAAAGCTTTGGTTGGCTCATAGAGTACATCTGACAGTCAGACAGGGCGCTACATTTCCTCCTGTTCACTGGATTGCATTCTGATTGGGAGACACTGCGGGTGCGGCTTCCGGTTTGGCTCGAGCACATGCTTCAGGGAATGATTGCAGCGTGAGACAATGGACAAAAACTCCTCATGTTTTCATGTCCTGGCAGGGAATGTTTCTCATGAGTTTATAAGTTTATGAGTCATATGATGTCATAGGTTTATTGGCCCGCATTTTACCGTTTGGCAGGGAATTACTTCTAACATTTCAAGGCCTTATCATGCTTCAGCCATCACCATTTGACAGACCAGCAGCCTTCATCGGTGCAACTCCACTTGAAGTAGACCCTGCCAGCCCCCTTCTTCGCTTGGCCCAGCGCGGTTCCGCACGCACATGCTCATGATGAGCTTGATCGAGGATGGCAGATCTTCCAAGACGGACATCAGTTTTTTCGTCCTCGGAGCAGCTACGACCATTACCTGGGACAGCATCTATATGTCGGTGTCCTACTTTCAACAATTCTTGGGCAAGCAAGTCCTCTCGGTGCTTTCTCTATGTTTCAGCCTTCCTCTCTTCCTAGCGATGCTGGGATGTTTATGCCTGAAGAGACAGCTTCCGGTGCACTTGATGGCACTTCTGGTGAGACTATGCATTGCGTTCCTACCATCCGCTTTGCATGCTTTCCATGTGTGGTGTAGGAACACATATATAGACGTAGTTATATAGGTATAGGACGGGAATCCAGAATATGTATGTATTGTTTGAACCCGGCATTGTCTGGGGCCAATGCTACTGGTGCCACCAATTTTTGTTGGACTTTGGGATCTATCAGGATCTCTCGGGAGACAAACGGGCAATTTGAATGTTCTTGAGAATCTAATAGAATCTACAACATTTGCCAGATGATCTGCGTAATAATGGATCGCATCCACTCACTGACGAGTAAACAAAAAGTATGGATCAGATCGAGGATCAAGGCCTGTTCCAAAAAAGCAGCCGATGGGGGTGCCACTCCCAACATCGTTCAGGTATATGCTGGGATTCTCCCTCTTGATTCTGCTGGCTGGGTTTTGCGACATTGACATGCCTGTCTACTTGTTGTGTTCACTGGTGGGCCTGTGTGGAATTAGCTCAGGCCTGATGCAGAGTATCTCGGCCTTTTCCGAGGTCTGCTATGTGCAAATGCCCAAACTTCTCCACTCAGTTTATGTCCCAGGAATTTCCCAGGAATTGCGTCCATTGGTCGTGGAACATTTTCCATGGTGAATTTTGACAATGTCCTCCTAGTAGCTTCTTGCTCCTAGTAGTAATAAGGCCAGGAGTCCCTAGTAGCGTCCTTGCTCCTAGTCCTAGTAGCGATGCCAGGGCCAGGGGCCCCTAGTAGCGAACATTGTTACTTTAGTTTAGCAACATACCTCAGGTGTGCATCATGGAAGCTGTCCAAAACGTTTCATGACGTTTATCCTCCGGCACTCCATGAGGCATTGATGTTCTGAGTATTGCCATTGCTTCCATATCCACTCCCAAGTCTTTTTGTGAGGACGGTGGAAGGGTTGATATATTTTCGGCGTTTTTCCCACATGGCTCCGAAGTCTCGTTGAGGCATGAGTGAAAGCCCACACATGTGGCGCACCGTCGGACGACCTGTTTTTTTTCGGACTACCGTGAGGTCATGTGAATCGACCGTCACCCAGGGCTTTCCGGACCAGGATCAAGGATGTACGCTGATGATCTGCAGGGAGAGTGTAAAGACAGTAATTACGATCCCACCTTGGCACCCCAGAAGATGCACTTGGCATGCAAAACTGAACTGTTTTTGGCATGTCTCCGGATGTTCTTGGCATATCCTTTTGGCACTCATCACCTCAGGTCATGTAAGACGATAAAACTTTAGAAGACAATGAAATAACAAGAGCCTTCACTCAGGAGATACGTGTGGAGAATGTTGCAGTTGTTCGCGGTTTGTCTGTGCATGATTTCTATAGTGCCATACAAAGGATGGAAAAGCGATATCGTGAACCAACCAGTTAACCACTGGGTGTTAAATCTGTTTCACGGCCGAATTTCCCCAGTATTTCCCCAGTCACCCACCTTCCGCAGCCAGCGCCCAGTCGCGTGTGGCCTCTGAGGCATGGTGGCCTCGGTGAGTGGACTCTTCTCCCAGTTCTCCCTGCAGTGCGGTGCCAGTGGCGCGGCCCTGAAAGGCACTGGAGGCGCCCCGGCACTTTTCGACGCACAGACCTAGAGCATAACAGAGGTCTTTGTGAGGAGTACAGTACAGTATACTATAGTTTACAGCGTTCACAGCTTCAATCGTCAATCTATAGTTGAAGTTGAATTACGGCATTGCAACGTTCTTGTTGTTTGTTCTCACATGTGTTGTCATGCATCAGCTGCCTGTTGCTATGTACTTTCAAGCATATGTTCTATGCTGCCTGTTGCTATGCCTTCGTGACTGTGTTGTTCTTGCATGGGTATTGTACGAGACATGTCTAATGATGAGCTGTTTGGGCTGGAACGAGCGAGGCGCTGAAGGCTGTCGCAGCAATGCCGTCACCAAAATTAAATGGCTGCTTGTTGTTGTTGTTGTTGCTGCCACTGCTGCTGCTATTGATGCTTCACTGGAGTGCCCCTGCTCACTGGCACTCCGTACAAAACAACTACTGTACTATGCGTACTATGTCTCGTCCCTCAGCTCTGTGCACAGATCAGGATGAAAAGGGATCCTCAGCTCTGGATACTCTCTGTTCCACATTGGCACATTGGTTACACTTTTCGACGGTCAGGTTCAAGGAACAGAGAGTTTTGGCCCAACACATTGGCTGTACCCTCGTACATCACATTTTTCTTGTGGTCAATGGAAGATCCGATGACCAGCCGCGCCTCGTGCGACTCATAGCTGACACAAATGAAGTGGTGACCAGACTGACAGCAAGGAGTCGCACAGCAACGAGTTATCGACGTCAGGCGCGATCCTGGTCCCTATGGCTGTGCAAATCAGCTTCCTGCCTGCGGCCCTTGCTGGACTGGTCAGCAAGATTGTGTTGGTTGTTTGGAAGAGGTTGGCTGTGACATAGTGTTTTGCAATGGTCAGGATCCATAAAACCTCATGTCGAGTTGGTTTGGAACTGAACTTGTTTAAGGCAAAAAGCTATTGCTTGAGTCTTCCTATTGTGGTCTCTTCATAGCGCAATTCCCCAAGGGCTTTCCAAATAGAAGCCTGTGGCCATCCCCAGCCTTGGCCGCTTTCAATCTGCTTCTGGCCATTGGCTCTCCTTCTCTTCGCACCACGTGAAGGATTTCACTGACCACCGGCAGAGCTTCCCATGAACACGAACTTCGTAAACTCCGGCTCTGCAGGACTTGCGACCGTGAACATGAGTCTGATGCTGGTTTTTGTCCTTTCCACTGCTATTCTGAGCTGTTCGCTTGCAGCCCTCCGCACTCTATCCAGGAGCGGGAGAGCGGGAGAGCGTTCAGTCATTCCATCCCTCTACGATATTCGACTGACCCCTCCAAAAGTAGTTTCAGAAGAATGAAGATGTGCACAGAAGAATGATCCCGGAAACAATGTATTGGACATGATTGGACATTCATGAAAGTCTTTCTCACTATTTGGGTAAAAATATGTTAAGTTTGGGTGCACAGTTGTTGGTGCGTTGTAGGAGAAAACCATATTTGACAAGGCACCTCGGTCCCTCCTCTTTCGGTCACAGGCTACGTGAGTGAGGTCCTTTTGAAGCTTCAGGTCCCAGGCCGTTCCGAACGTAGCTTCTTGTTACTACTAGTAGCAAGTGCCTCGCTAGTAGTAACAAGTGCCTTAATAGTAGTAACAAAAAGCTATTAGAATTAAATTAATAGCTTCTTGTTACTACTAGTAAGGCACTTGTTACTAGAAGCGATGCACTTGTTACTAGAAGCGATGCCCTTGTTCCTAATAGCTTCTTGTTCCCAGGCTCCTTCATGTTCTTAAAGATTTGCCTTGCAGAGACCGCCTGGCCAGAGTGAAAACACATCAGGCGGAAACTCGCAAGAAGCATGCCTTACCTGAGTAGATGTTGCAGTGTAGTGCAGCACGTGGTGTGACAACAGGAGCCAAAAAAGCCTCGCCAGTGTTGGCTCAGCATGACGAAGCCCCAAGAGGTTTTCACCACTCTTACCATGGCTGTTGTGCTGCTATGGTCAGATTACCTCGCCTTCAAGACCCCAAGAGCCAAGTGAAACATGTGCCTTTTAAAAGACATATGCCTTTTAAAACGTTGTCAGTTTAACATACATATGCTTTTTCTCATGCCTGGTAGGGGAGGGTCCATTTTGTTGTTATCTAAGTTGGTCTGTGGGGTATACCTCAAACACAATAAGCCCCTATATTTCTTGACCAAAGTTCCTTGAACCTTAAACATCAGTGCCGCCGCTGTATTCAGGAAATACTTCAGAACATTTACACCAGCCGCGCAAACAATGTTCTTTAAAGAGACATCAAACATGCCAGCGTTAAAGGCTTTGTGGGTACACTGCGGCAAGTATTTCTGATATATCTATATATATTATATACAGATCCAGCAGCCCAAGACCATTTGAAGATACCCGCTTCGTCTTACCCATCCAGTTTGGAGGAGTTCCACTTGGGCGCTGGCGAGCGAACACATCGGTGCAGCCAGCGGCTGTCTTGAAGAATGTCGCAACCTGGAAAGTATGAGAGATGGGACCATCCCAACTCCAGCATAATTTCTGATGTGGGTCAACTGGGCATGTCCTGGTGTACTAACAGGGAAGTGAAGCATTCCCACCTGGAAAGACACTGTTCCTTCGCAAACAGGTGGTTTATGGTGGTGTTCCACTTCCTTATTGAATTAGAGTGTATGACCGAGGAGGCGAATCTGCCTTCATTCGTACCATTCGTGCCACGGCTACGCGCCCCGTCGTGGCAGACGGCTAGACTTGGACGTCAGCAATCGCCTCCCTGAAACCAAAGCTGAGAGAAGGCCATTGGTTACGCAACATGGGAGTATGTGGGAGGAGAACTGAAGCAACCAGTCCGAACATATGGAATATGTATGTACACTTTGGAGTCATGGGCCATGGGTTTGCAACGATACAGGACACTTCTGGAGACCTCCCACGGTTTGGGAATGTTTGGGAATCTGCAAGATCCCCTTTTAAAGGGGTCGGGGTGGAGTGATGGTGGAATCTAGATGTCGATGGGTACTATGGAGTGCCTATAGGTCTTTTTGGTTTCTAACTTATCAAGGTTATCACCAAACCAAAGGATGGAGGCCAAACATGGCGATATTGGATGATGCTGGTGATAGCTTTGTTGCCCGCCGAAACAGCTCCCATAAACACGGTGAAAGCACTGTTCATGTTGATTGATGCATCTAAATGCTAAGCTTGATGTGTTCGGGATGTTTCCGAGATTTGTTGAGTTCAAAATTCAATTCTAACTCAGTGACTCTGAGTCACTTCGCCAGTCTTCGGCATCCAACCAGGTAACCCGGTGGACAACACCCTTGGCCGAGCTCCTTCCTTCTCCCGTGAGCGTCTTCTGTTGGTGAAGTGGTGCGCGGTGGGGCAGGCGCCTTTTCGCAGACTCGGTCCATGCTCGGTCCAGGTTATCGTCACAGTTTGGAGAACACCAGCAAGCTTTGACCTGATAATTAAGAGGCAGAGGGTTATGCAAGTTATGGAAGATGTTCGATTTGTTCAGGCGGGAGTCTGATGCGTTTGTTTCACTGATTTGGACACCCCAGGCAAACTTTGCTGTTTATCCTATCACAGGTCTACCAATGGAGCAACCTGCTTTATTTACAACAACAAGACTCCTGTGGCGAAAGCGGCCGAGAAGCGGTGCCCAACTGAATAGAAAGGATTCCAATACATCACCTAGTAGCTTCTAGTTACTGGAAAGCTTTCTTGTTACTAGTAGCGATGGCCTCCAACCAAATAGCAATGGCCTCCACCTAGTAGCTTCTATTTTAGAACAATTACAGAGTCGGGTTTCCATTTAGTTGTGGGTGGCCACACGGCATTGTATTATGTCCTGAACCTCAACAGAGCTCACACAGTCAAAGGAAGGCGATTCTCTTTGAGCCAACGTGATGAATTCCAGCTGTTCCCACAGAACAAACATATGACAGATGCATAATATCTGTATAGAACCTATATATTATTACATGCACGTTATTTCATATATACATATATATATATATATACAGTATACGGTATTATTACATGCATATGAACCTTGATGGGTCTTGTGGCAATTTTGTTGATGTCCCCAGGTTGAAATCAGCATAGCCAGCTTAGCCACCATCAACCACAGTGATTTGACAATGCCGCAGATGGGCGTGTCTAATTGGAACAACTTGCCAGTTCGATCCCTGCAAGTTTGGAAAAATAGGGACAAACAGATTGTAAACTGGGGAATTGAGGAATCTCAAACATGCCAAAGCATAGAACAGCCAAGAGGTAGCGAAGCGAATCTGCGTATACGGTGTAGGCCATGCATGTGAAGCGAGTCCTTCCCAGGTAAGCCAGGGGTTTCGAAGTTTGTCCTAAAACTCATCCAAACACAAATGCATACATACAGTCAGTAAAACTTTCAGCCTTGAACTCACAGTTGTTCGCTACAGGAAACCCGCCACTATTCTTACCCTGTAGGTCTTCAGCTTGACTTTGACAACCTTCCTACTGGCCTTATCTCCGCACGTACCGCCATGTGTCCTGGCACTTACAGACGATGCTGCAAGCACCCGTCATGCACCGTCGAACACGACGTGCCCGCTGGCGCTCCGCCGGTGATCGGTTCGCGGCATTGGGAGTGATGGACACATTTTCACAGACAGAGACCGTTTTTTTCGAAAAAGGGCCTACCGCTGCGAGGTGAGAGCACAGAATCTGCCATATTTTGGGAGAGGTATTTGGCCACAGTCCTAGTGGCGACGCATACTGTTGCGAACTTCCTTGGGCGCATCACTGTTAGTGGCCAGTGGTGTAGACGACCAGCACCTGTGGGAGTCTTGGTCTTCGTGGTGCTCATTCGCCTACTCTTCATACCATGCATTCTGGGCTATACCCATGGCCACCTGCATTGGCTGCTACCGGAAGATCCACGCAATTTGATCCTTGGTGTTGAGTTGAATGTGATTTTTTTCCTAACAGTTTTTGGATGTGTTCTTCTGTTGTGGAAACGATGATAACAATTAGCGTTCGATGTTCCAAAAAAATGATGGGCTGTGAAACTTCGACCTTTGACTCCTCTCGGGCCATCCAGTGACTCTAATGGTCCTTGTCCCGTTGTGTTTTGACCTCGCGCCCCGCACCATCTGGACCTCGCGTCGTGTGGTTTGCAGGAGCATCATCGTCGCCTATGGTCTCATGTCCTTCACCGGTGGCTTAGCTGCCATGCTGCTTTCGCAAAAGGCCCAATCCCTCTGTGGCCACGATCACAGCGCCTGGGCAGCAAACAGCGGGTCCTGTCCGAGAGAGCGGCTTCAGCGGTGGTGGGCGGGTTGGTGATGTTTATGTATATATAGTAGTATAATAATATATATATATATGTATGTATGTATACCGTAGAATAACATTTGACGTAATCTTAGAATCATTCCATAAAATATCTCCTGTGTCCTTGTTCCATCTTGTTCCTGGCACCTTTGAGAGTGGACGCCGGACTTGCGAAAGGGGTGAGATGATCGAGACCAGCATAGCAAGCGTGTGGTTCTAGCTCGGGTTACGAGACTTGGAGGCGAGAGGTTTGCGGGGTGAGCCGGGCTGACTCAAGTTGGCATGGAGGTTTCTTTAGGCATTAGAGGCCATCACATCGCAGAGATGGTTTTTCATCTAGCTGCCTTCCATGTCCCCCTCAAGAATTGCATGAAAAGGATCAGAATCGAACTGCATGTTTGCCTTGCAGAGCTCAGGGATTCCATGCCCCATCGTCTCGCAAATCACATGGATAGCCATTCAGCTGGGGGGCCTTATTGGTGTGGCTTTCTCCTGCATCAAAGTGATTTGAGCTCCTGACTGATGCGATCCAACTTTGTTAGTTAAAGATCTCAGTTGTTCCAAATATGTGCCTTTTGCTCCCTGCAAGAAGAATCCAGCAAAGAGGAGGTAAAACCAAGAAACGAGCCTTGTTGCTGGTGTACCCCCCGAAACCCACAGAGGTGCGTGTTGCTATGTACTGTAGGGAAGCTCCAGGCCTGAAGGATCTTCTGGGTTCTCAGCATTTTTCGCTTGTGCCCAAGAGTGGCACAAGCCCAACCGAACACAGCAGACTGACCGGTACAGCGGATGCTGCAGCGGATGCATGTCATTGATGGGATTGGAAGTTATACTCAGGCTTTCTATGGCCATTTCATCGAATTACTGTAGCATAACAAAACAAACATCTCTGTGGCTTAACCAGCTACTGTACCTTCAAAACGGAGGCAAAACAAACATCTCTGTGGCTTAACCAGCTACTGTACCTTCAAAACGGAGGCCTTTTCTCCCGTTCCACTTATTCAAAACATGCAGTGCCTCCCAGTATATACTATTGAAAAGATGACTTCAGCTGACATTGCCTGCAGAGGCAAACCAATCACAGCAACAAACTGATCCCTGGGAGACTTCTAGGACTTCGTCCGTGAGATAGGCTTCGGTGAGCACCTATACTATACTTATACTTGCCAGGTTGGTCCCTTATATAAGGATCTCCCCCCAAAATGGATTCGATCATGGTTCAAGCGGCTCTTCAGAGATGACAGCATGATGAAGCTCAGCCTGCACCGCAGAGATAATTCACACATTTCATTTCGTTAGGCCCAAGTCCGGGAACAGCCACGGCGAGGGCTCAAAACAGCTAGCAGTCTTTGAATGGCAGTCTTCTACCTTTCTATTACCCTTCAGTCAAACTGATGGTAGTTACAGATGTTGATTGTTTACGATTGCTTTTGGACACACCAATGCTAGACTGCTCGCAAAAATTCTTCAATTCGTTTGTGCCCAGCATATTTGCTGCTTTCAGGAACAGCACAGAGGCTCAAGCTGCTCCAGCTTCAGCTCTTGAGAAATAGTGGGCAGTACAGCCGGCGAAAAGTGCAGCTGCAGCAGGGATGTGTTCAAAAAATGGGGAGAGATCCAAAACAATCGGATATTCTGAATATTCTGTTCATTTCCTTTTTGCTCGATTAGTTGACACACCTGTTGACGAAGAGCTTGTTGCAGACCTTGTTGCAGACCCCGTTGTCGAGGGCATGGACTAAGTGGAGACAAGTCATCCATGCAACCCTTCCATTGCTCAGTCGGTATTCCTGTTTTGGCCACATGCAGCGAGGCAACTCAGCATCACAAGCTGCTGAAGTAAATTAAACACACACACACACACACATGCATGGATACCTTCAATTTTTTACTTGTTTATACCCACACTGCATTTGAATGGGTTTGATCCGCCCTTTCTTGAAGCTTGCCCCGGAGCCGACACATGGCCGGAGGCGACACAACGATGTCTTCGAGTTCCACATGGCCCAGAAGATCCCAGCGTGCTCTTTGAGCTCCGACTTGGAGGCCACTTTCATGAGCTCCGAGTGCCGGAGTCATCGAGTGAGTCATGAGTCTTCGAGTGCCGGAGACTGGTGCCGCTCCAACAACTAAATCATATAGACAGATATCATATAGGGGATTTGAGTAAACGTAGTATGGAAACACGGACAAATCAAATATATAATCCTATGGCAAAGAGATGGACGTGGCTTAGTTGGACAACATCAGTGGTTTTTGCGGGGTCTTGGACGAACAGACTGGTCCTGTCATCACTGATCCCCGCTGCTCCAGCTGCATCAAAGCTTGAGGGTCCAAAAGGGCATCAGAAAGCATCCACATTTCAAGGTTGTTCCTTTAACTAAAGCCTAGCACAAGAAAGCCATATGGCGATCAGGACTGTGTAGGTGTCAGTTAATGAGCAACAAACATGCAGCCTGGAACATTCAGATGGAACGTGAACACCACTGGTTTGCAGAGGAAACATGTCCTAATCTACTAACCTTCTATATATGGCTTTCAAGTTAAGGGACTGTTTTCAAAGCCTGTTCCGTGTCAATCTTCACGAGTAATTAGAACTTCTCATTTGGTGATGTTGTTGTTTTTTAGGAATACAAGACACATTCCACCAATGAACCTGCAACCCCCCCGAAGCCTCCCATACATGTAGACCCAATTAGCCTTTACGCGCAATGGCTGGCTTGTGTTTGGGATTCTCAAGATTGAGACATGGACAAGTCCGATCACCAGGAGTTCCTAGGCTGCTGAGAGGCTTTTGGGCAGGAGGATTAAGCAACAAATCATATGGGATTCCTCATTACCCTAGGGATGCCGAGGATGTGGCCCTGGCTTGAGAAAGGGATGCGCGCGAGCATTCATTCACCTTCAACGCGGCATTGGGGCCATGTATCCATTTTTGCCAAACTTCAGAAGAGATCATGCTTGGACCGTTGTTTTTGTCGGATGCTTTGAAGTGTTAATTCCCAATGTTACATACCGAACGTCGGGAAGTGGTGGGTTTAGGCTGTGGGAACCCAAGGACGTCCAACCCAACTCATGGATTCGGCAACTCGGTCCGACGACTCGGTCCACGGAGCACTCCGAGGCTGGCAGGAGTCGCCCTTGGCCGCCCAGGAGCCCTTGGCCTTCCGTTTTTTGGTGTTTTGAACCTTGGGAAGTCGAAGCCGGGTCATGCCTAGACTAGTAGAAGGAAGAACAAAGAAACGATGACCCAAGTTGAGAAGAATCAGGTCCCTCAGCAAAGCTCTAGACTATTCTACAATCTTCTGCACACATTTCGTTCCTTTGGTGTCCATGATGCAGTTACAGGATGGGATAAAACACAAGCCCTTTGGAACTTTTGATTGTGTTTCTCAAACAAGACCTTCCAGTGATCTAGTCATTCTGAGTCACTTTGGATCACTTGGTAGGTCCGTGGTCCACTCCTTCCAACGACCCGTCCGTGGGTCCCAGTGTTCGAAGGCTCAATCAGCTGCACTGCCGTTCACAGCACCGCTGACGTTGCAGCGATTTACAGCGCAGCCATCAGTGCATGCGGGAACTGCATAGCTTGGCATCATACTCACACAACAAGGGGTTTTAAGGCTGGAAGCTGAAGAAATGAGCTGCACGGCTGCCCCGCACTTGGGCAAACTTTAAGCACATTTTGCCTACTTGCGGCCCTGAACCTCAAAACGAACGAAAAGAAAACACTATGTAATATAGTAATATGTCAATATGTCCCAAGTCCTTCCTGTCAATATTGTCTTGACATCTCAAACCTTGGCTTTATGCGTGGCTCATGCGTGGCTTGCACAATTGTCATGCAGAGTTCAGACACCCAGGCTTCCACTGGAAGCATGCTTTGTACCTACTTGCCACAGTCTTTGATGCTTGACATGGAAAGGCCATGATGAGCAATGGTTCGGACAAGAAAGCAAAGACAACAGCAACATACAACAACATATCTTGCGGTATTCTTCAACAAGGCGGAGCAGTTAGTTTACTACTTGTTTCAGAAAAATGTTTTCCTACTTGTCACAGTTTGAAGTTTCGGACTCCTGTACCATCCTGTACCAGTGTTTCCATTTTCATGTCATAGTCATAGTATGAGTTTCTCACTTAGGTGAGTGGTGTATTAAGGGTCCGTGAGGTCCATGAAATCAGTACGTCCTTTTTGAACCAGTATTCCTTTCGGTTGAACCACCTCGAAGACCCATAGAGGACGTGGAAATTATCGTTGCCTTTCGCTGTTTGGCCAACGTTCTTTTTTGAAGGGAGGGCAACCGAGTATCCAAGGAACTTCAAATTCGAGCTAGCATCATCGCCTTTGACACAGCTATATGCGTATATGGAAGCTGTGGCGAGTGGCAAGATGCAGCGGGCCTTTTGCATGAATCTGTTGCCCAAGGACAGACGGGTGTATGCTCAACAGAGTGGCAGAATTGGTCTGATAAAACCAAGGAGCTTTGCTCTTGAAAATTAGCATGCCAAGGACAAACTTATTCACTGTCGTTCATGGCTCATGTTGAACACGCCGAAGACTCTGAGTGAACACCGTCGGATTGGGATGTTTAAGGCTTTTGGATTGAGTGAATGAGTCGTGGTTCTTTATCTCTTGCGTCGTCCCATCACTTTCCCTGGTCTCCAGGTATAGAAACCAGCGTGGTGAATGTCAAAACTGCCATCAGTGCTTGCGCCCGATGCTGGTGCGTGGCCTTGCACTTGTTGGCAGGTGCTGAGACCAGCGAGCTGCCAATCGGTGCCTAGGAAGAATGAGTTTGTCGTAAGAGACCTGGGATCTCCAATGCCATGATCCATGGGTGTGTCACAACCCGGGACTGGTTGACCACCCAGAACACACAGCAGGACGGACTACTGGGGATTTCAACCTGCTTTGGTTTTTGGGGTATTGACCCACATTCTCCCTGGTTTAGCATGAGGTAATCCGAGGATCAACACCCAATCGATTCCCAGCCACTGCGAGCTCTAAGGTGCAATGGCCTTGCTTCTGCGGTGATTGGCGCTTCTGCGGAGGGTTGCAGCAAAAAGGGCAGCCCGACCCCGATACCCAATGGGTCGATGGCCGCTATGGTATACATGAGATCATTTTCATACTGACCTACATGAACATTCGCAACATATTATATAAAATACATAATTATATACTAATTAATATATTAATATATATTATATATAGTATGTATGTTGTGCTGCAAGCTTGGGGTTGCATGAAGACGTGACCTTTGCTGTTCTTCTTATCTTCTATATACTTCCAGAGGAGGGGTAGAAGCTGACACCCGAGCACGGGGCATCAAATCACCAGAATCGTGATCTTTGTTGGTAAAGCATGGCAGGTGACTCACACCAAAATGATCATGTAACTTCAATGGATAGCTCGCGAGTCATGAGTTCTCCACGTGCACCATCAATGTAATATTTGGACACATCAGAAACAACAGCTGTCGTGACATAGCATGGGCCCTTGAAACACGTGAAGATCCAGGAGTTTTGGTGTGTGCCAAACTCCATGCTATTCAGATCTATTCAGTATTATTCAGTAATTCAGAATTCAGTAGCTTGCCGGTTTGAAACCCAACCTCGACGACTACTTCTTTCCACAACCAGACACCAGTGACTCCAACCCGACCGAATCGATGAAACGTCGAGGCTTCTTTTGAGGCCTCGCAAGTGTCCGATGCCATGCAACGGTTTCTCGGCGGTTCCGTCGAGTCAGTCCGCCCGTGGTCTTTTTGGTGCGGCAATGGGGATCAATATCAACATAGAGGGAGAACAACATGTTCGATTTGGCACTGTGCCAGAAGGTCTATGCAGCATAGCATGGGGGCTTCAAGACTTCCACCAAAACGCTATGTGTCCTTGCAGTCTCATTCCGTAGAGGGGGGCCCAAGACGGCTTTGCGTTCCATCGCGGTTGGATTTTGAACTGATGTTTTGAGGATACAGCCAACCAAAGATGTTGAAACACGTTTCACTCACCATCCTAATTGACATTGCAGTATTTGACTATGGATCATGGCACTCGGAGGAGATCAAGGCTGCCAAGCTGTTATCAGACCTAATGGATCCAAGCTATTACGGGTGTCTGGGATGGTTCCCCACACCTTAGGGGCCATATCCAAGCCAGTAGGACCCTTCCGCTGATTCACGGACCCCGCCCACTTAGGTCCTGTAACATCTTCCTGGCGGTAGGGACACTGAGTGGGAGATTTGGGGTAGGTGTTCATTGATGTTCATTGCAAAGAGAGAAGAGCTCCAGAAAACACAAACGTTTATGTAACGGGGAAAAACTATTCTTCCTGAAGGAGAGGCAGCCTATATCTATATTTCTATATGTACTTTCGCCCCCGTAAGTTAAGATGCATCTCATTTCGGCTGTTCCGTAGTGTTGTGGTTCAAGCTCGGTGCATGACTTGCACTCGCTGCGGCCTGTTTGCGAAGACAGGCCCCTTTTGTCTTCCGTGTCGCACGATCCAGAGGCTCCGGGAGGTTGTCGAAGGAGGACTGATCCTCAGGTCCCAAGAGGCAGAGGCAGTCCGCGTGTTGAGGGAGGCCGCTGGTGGACTCTTGGATCTGGCTGAGGAAGCGGCTCCCATCCTTGCTGCAGAGCGGAGGGCAGCGAATCCACCTGGCGTGCCTGACGAGCCGCGGCAATACAGCACCTTGGAGCCTTTGCCTGCGTTGCGACCCGTTGAACCTGATTCGGGAGCCAGGCCCGCTCCTACGGACAGTGGCGTGAAGGTTGAGAACGAGGCAGAGGAGGCGAAGGAGTCGGTTGCGGAGATCGTGGTTGACGGACAGGACGACGGTGCAAAGAAGGCATCAACTACAGCTAAGGAGGCAGTTGGTGAGGAGAAGGCTGTGGCTGAAAAGGAAGAAGTCAAAAAGAAGAAGAAACGCAAGCACAAGACAGCCGCCGGGAGCTCCGGAGGAGACAAGAAGCGGAAGAAGAGAGTTCGCGAGGGCAAAGGGAAGACAGAAGAGGAAAAGGTCGCCGACGAGCCCACCGAAGACAAGCAAGCTTCAGGAGAAGCAGACTGGTCAGGACTTGTTGACACCAACCCAGCTTTCCTCGGTCTTTCACCAATTCCAAAGGGAAGTGTTGCAGCACACCTTGCAAGGTTGCCGTTGCCACCCCCAGCACCCGAGAGGAGGGGACCAGTTGAACCTGATCATCCACCACCTCACTTACGAGGATCCAGTTCCAGGGGCCAGCGTAGGAGCCCGCGGAGAAAACCATCTCCACCCATCTATCGCCGCCCACGGGGCACCAAGGGAGTCAAACATCGTGAACGAGGCTATTACTGGCGCCGCTAGCCAGAGCAATGCCGCCCAAAGCAAAACCAAAGGCCAAAGGCCGAGTGAAGGCCCTGGCCAAACCAAAGGCAGCCATGGCAGTTGTACGGGGCAGGGGTGCCCTGAGGAGGCCGGCGTTGGCTCCACCTCCCGTCGCCGCTCCTGGTCCGCGGGAGCAATGGATGTCGGGAGAGGAGTTGCCGATGAGAAGCGTGCCGTTGGAGTTACTAGGTCGAGGGGGGGACGTATTTCACAGCCCCCTGCCAAGTTGCCGGAACGATCGACAGGCTCGAGATTGCGGGCGAGGACGTTCATGCATTGATCAAAGCAACAGGGACCAGCAACGAGAACCTCCTCCGACACGCCAGCGACAAGACCAAGAACATCCTTCGTCTGCACAGGTGCGGAGCAGAGTGCTCTGGCGACAGAGTCTCGGAAGACTTGGTACATTGCAAGATGGTTCGCCAGGCGAGGAGCAAGGATGCGGAAGAAGGCTGGGTCGACAATTTAGAGACTGTCGAGACCGTGGAGGACGACCTGAAGGACCTTCGTGCCCGAGAAGCAGGCATTGGTGCACCTTCGGCCAAGGAGGGTGTGATGGACCGGGAGCGAGGGCGCTCCTTGAAGAAGAAGGAGAAGAAACAAGATGGAGCCCACGAACCCGAATGCAAACACGTTCGAAAAGCTACATATGTCCAAATGACACTCTTGTAGGACACTCTTGTGGGACACTCTTCTGGGACACTCTTGTAGGATACTCTTGTGGGTCACTCTTGTAGGACACTCTTGTGGAACACTCTTACAGGACACTCTTGTGGGACACTCCTGAAAGGCACTCTTGTAGGACACTCTTGTGGGACACTCTTGTAGGACACTCTCATGGGACACTCTTGTAGGACACTCTTGTCGGGCACTCTTATGGGACACTCTCTTGTGAGACACTCTTGTAGGACACCCTTGTGGGTCACTCTTACACGACACTCTTGTAGGACACTCTTGTAGGGCACTCTTAAGGGACACTCTTGTGAGACACTCTTGTGAGACACTCTTGTGGGACGCTCTTATGGGACACTCTTGTGGGACACTCTTGCGGGACACTCTTGTAGGACACTCTTGTGGGGCACTCTTGTGGGACACTCTTGTAGGAAACTCTTGTGGGACACTCTTGTAGGACACTCTTGTGGGACACTCTTGTAGGACGCTCTCGTGGGACACTCTTCTGGGACACTCTTGTGGGACACTCTGTGGGTCACTTGCAGGACACTCTTGTGGGACACTGTTGCGGGGCACTCTTGTGGGACACTCTTGTGGGACACTCTTGTAGGACACTCTTGCGGGACACTCCTTGTGGGACACTCTTGTAGGACACTCTTGTGGGTTACTTGCAGGACACTCTTGTGGGGCTCTCTTGCGGGACACTCTTGTAGACACTCTTGTAGGACACGCTTCCCGGACACTCTTGTGGGTCACTCTTACACGACACTCTTGTAGGACACTCCTTGTGGGACACTCTCATAGGACACTCTTGTGGGTCACTCTTATGGGACACTCTTGCCGGACATTCTTGTGGGACACTCTTATAGGACACTCTTGTGGGTCACTCTTATGGGACACTCTTGTCGGACATTCTTGTGGGACACTCTTGTGAGACACTCTTGCAGGACACTCTTGTGGGGCACTCTTGTGGGACACTCTTGTAGGACATTCTTGTAGGAGACTCTTGTGGGACAATTTTGTGGGACACTCTTGTGGGACACTCTGGTGTGACACTCTTGTAGGAAACTCTTGTGGGACACTCTTGTGGGACACTCTTGTGGGACACTCTTGTAGGAAACTCTTGTGGGACACTCTTGTAGGACACTCTTGTGGGACACTCTTATAGGACACTCTTGTGGGACACTCTTGTGGGACACTCTTGTAGGACACACTTGTAGGACACTCTTGCGGGACGCTCTTGTGGGACACTCTTGTGGGACACTCTTGTGGGACACTCTTGTGGGACACTCTTGTGGGACACTCTTGTGGGACACTCTTGTAGGAAACTCTTATGGGACACTCTTGTAGGACACTCTTGTGGGACACTCTTATAGGACACTCTTGTGGGACACTCTTCTGGGACACTCTTGTAGGACCACTCTTGTGGGACACTCTTGTAGGACACTCTTGTGGGACACTCTTGTGGCACACTAGAAGCAGTCCTGCGAGCGTTTCGTACGAGACGTCCTCCAAAAGTCACGCTTCGAGGCTGCACAAGACGAGCGTTTCGTTCGAGACTTTCTCCAAAAGTCACGCGTTAAGTCTCCAAAACGAGCGCTTCGTACGAGACTTCCTCCAAAAGTCACACGTCAAGTCTCCAAAACGAGTGTTTCGTACGAGACTTCCTCCAAAAGTCACGTGTCAAGTCTCCAAAACGAGCGTTTCGGTTGAGACTTCCTCCAAAACTCACATGTCAAAGTCTGCAAAACGAGGATTTCGTACGAGACTTCCTCCAAAAGTCAAGCGGAAACACCCATCGGAGCACACACATCACGCAGCCCTGCCAAGCAGTTTCGCGAGTCCAGCCCCTCCAAACAATACCCCCTCACACGCCAATCTCAATGTGACAGCGACATTCACCTCTACCACAACTCACGACCTCACGATTCCCTGCGCCTGCCACGAATCTTTCCGCATCCACACGTCTAATGCGCACAAAGTACTGCGCCTGCCACGAAATGTCACCTCCGTCACACCTCGCAACCTCACGATTTCCTGCGCCTGCCACGAAAATCGCACTTCCACACCTCAAAATCAGCACAAAGTACTGTGCCTGCCACGAAAAGTGAGAATATCATCTCACGTGAGCTTCAACAAAATTTGCACCACACCACGCGTTTAGAATGATTTCGACCCGTTCTGAGCACACTCCCAGGTCCAAAATCGGCATTTCAGCTGAGACTTGTCACGAAAACAGAGCTTCGATGCCACACCCTGAAACGCAAATCCCAATGGCACGGCCACATCCAACAACCCAAAAACACGACTCTCCAAACGCTAATCCCAATGGAACTGTGTAGCAAAATGCGGATCTCACAAAACGCTGCGCCTGTGCAGCGAAATGCATCACGCTTCTTGCGCGACATGTCCTTTTCACGCAAACCACAATGGACTCGCGTCGCAAACTAACACGTGACACATCCATGCATAGTCACTTGCAGAAGCTTCCCCCAATGGCGGCGCCTTAGCGACCTACTGCGGACGGTTGCGAACGGTTGCGAACGGTTGCGGACGGTTGCGAACTTAGAAACAACGGATCGCGAACAAGACTCTATACCCCCAGACCCCCAGAGTTAAACGAGAACCCTTCGCTACGCATTCGGGAAAAAGCCCGGTCGAAGAAGAAGAAGAGGGACAAGAAGGACAAGGGTTCAGTGCACAGTTCGCCGGACAAGGGCGGAAGGAGCAAGAAGAAGGTCGACGCCAAGAAGGACAAGGTTGGTCCGGCCTCAACGTCGAGTTCATCGAGCAGTGTGGACCTGTCGGGGCGTCAAGGGCCTGTCGGCCCTCTTTGCAGGCACGGGCCTGGACCCGTCAGACCGTCAGAGAAGGTCCGGAAAAGGGTTGCGAAGCGCGCCAGGCGCAAGGGTCGGAGGCAGAAGAGCGACAAGTCGGGATCCTCAGGGAGAAGCTCCAGCGGTGGTTCCACGTCCGAGGAGGGGGAAGCACTAGAGGCAGCACTCTTCAACCCCGAGACCAAACTGCAGAAGATTGCGGAGCTCTGCCCCGGAGCTCTGGCAGCTCAGTCGCTTCAGGCTATGCGTACAGGACTGCTCCAGTCGATTGGATCGGACGATCAGCCGGGAGCATTGGCTCCTGTTGGACTTGCCTACTTCCGGCAGCAGCTACATCGCAA